TTGACGCTTTCCCGAAAGTTATCCTCCAAAGAATTGTATTCTTAGCTTCGTTATACAAACTCTATATATATATATATATATATATATATATATATATATATATATATATATATATATATATATATATATGTCCAGAACAAGTTAATTACTTATAGTTTAATGCCATATAAACATAATAATATATAGCTTCAGAACAATCTATTTATATATATATATATATATATATATATATATATATATATATATATATATATAGAAATAGATTGTTCTGAAGCTATATATTATTATGTTTATATGGCATTAAACTATAAGTAATTAACTTGTTCTGGACCCGAACGAACCTAAAGAACTGAAGATCTGAAGATATTTAATATAATCTACTATTGCGAAGTGGGAATCGACACGCCAAATATAATATTCGATACTAAAATTGTAGTTAATTCCCAGTAAAAACAATAAATTATAGTCATAGATATAACTAGACAAATAGAAATATATGTAAACGCATATATAGAAGGAACAAGGCGAGAAAGTGTATTGACAAAACACGCAGATGGTTCAGGAAAATTTTTCGTTGTATATTCAATTCCTTTACATTCTTTGCAGTGAATAAAACGATCATTTTATAGCCCGTTAATTATTTTATCTCAAGTTTATGCGCAACCTTGATCCTGACCAGTGGTATAAATATTGTTTTTGAACTCTCTTTAGTTGATAATGAAACAACAATATATTATGTTCATTTTTAACTAATGTGTTATTTTGTTATTTCTTTATCATTATCGTTTATAAATTTTATTCTCATATATAAGCAGTAAGTTGTAACCATCGAACGACCCATCAGAAACGGTGGATGCCAATGGGTACCTAACAATATAACTACCTCCGAAAATCATCATCATCATCAAATTCATCAAGTCAATAATATGGAAAAATATACGCATGACCATTTTTTAGATCTGAGTTTGATCCCATAATATCCCAACATTGAATCCAGGAGATCTAATCCCCCCATATACTTGTTGTAGATCGTTACAGCTTTTGGACCTGGAACCATTATATGTGTCTTATCCTTTTTCGAAAACCGTAACTTTAAAGGTTGGCATACTCTCAGTATATGTTGATAAAATGTTTATGTCATAATGTCATACTATGTAACAACAGATATTTTTGTACCATCAATTGTGGCGACTTTCTCTACTAAAGCTCCTCGACCGTTCTTTAATTCAGCCTCTTGGCATATTACTGTTTGGCACTCTGTTCATTCTAACTGTTTCTAGAGGTAACATAACCTGTTTCGTTAGATAAATTTGCAATATAACGCAGTTAAACCAATTATCAAAGAATATTTTGTGATTTATAAGTCTTGGTACTGTTGTATTGTATTGCGTGACATAACATCTGAGATCAATCGGTGATTCAGACTGGAGTTCCAATAACTTCTAACGTGTGGTAATTGCACTATTGGCATATAAAATACAGTGTCCTAAGAACTGTTCTAGCTAATTATCAGAAAGGTTTTTGAGGTGTTTTTTCCACTGATTATAATATAGTTTGATAAACAATATCTTTGATCATCTCGTTTGTTAAAAAAAATTCCGAACTGCTTTCTAAATGCGTTTCTGGGATAATAATATCTGATTCAGCATTATCTATTATATTATCTTTATAGTCTGACTCTGAGGCTAATATAATAGAGGAAATATCATCATCTGATAGTCCTTCGTCTTCACTACCATCTGGTATGTCCACTACCACAAGAGTTTCATCATAAAACTGTATTGGATCCATTGTCTAAAAGAAAAAAATAATACCTAGTGCAGAACGCATATTGTGCCATACATGAAAGAGAGTTTTGCACGACAGTGCATATTGTGATATATATGGCATAAGAATATTGTTGATCAAAAAATACCAAAATATAAAGAAATACGTGAAAATACTTACAGAAATCATTTCTTGAAGGTCTATCCTTGATGTCACTAGTTTTTTGTACAAAAATATTCAGTAGAAACTTCGATAATTGAATATCAAATTGCACAATTCCTATGAACAGCTGTCAAATTGCGGCCATTTGCCAATTTTCATAAAAGTTCACTTTGCTGCATTGAGGTGGCGCTTTATTACCGGTTATACAAAATATGTACTATGTCATGCATAAATACTTTAAAATAATATTCAATCTCTAACGGTTAGATATAAAACTAAGTATTGGTTCATATATGACCCACTATGCGGTAAGGGGTTAATATATAACTGAATTTTGAATTGAGAAATACCTCTTTATAGATGAACTATATTTCCCTTTATATTCAATTACCCCTACGTTAGCATTGAAGTATGACTGTCAGAAGACGACAGTTGTCAACTGACATATAACGTTTGTCGACTGAAGTGAGGCATAGAAATTTATATAATATGTTCTATTATCTCATAGTACATAATAGGGTCTGAATAAAGGAATTATGATATTTAGTTAAAACTGGAATTTTCATTTAGACATAATATTTAGTAAATAGAAAGTTAATCGAAAGATTGAGTTGAGTGCCAACTATTTTTCGAATAAAAATAGTAAAATGAAAGTTAAATTAATAAATAAATGAAATCAAAAGAAAACTGAAGTAAAATAATTAATAAAATAAAAAAAAAAAAACAAATCTGTGACGTTAATGACGTTACAAAGTATAAAAAAGTTTACAGTTATTTTATATAAAATTTGCTTAATGTTGTAAGTAGTTTATTTGTACGCCCACACAATTATTATATAAAAATTAAAATAGAACGGAATATAATGATTCTGTTACATCTCATGATTTGGTAATATCAAAAACATGACATAAATAACTTTTCTGTTTATTATAAAATAAAATAAATTAACTTTATCATTTTTTAGTACATATCTAGATAAAGAGTAATCACATCTAAGATATGACAGATATGACAAATTAAATAACAACAGCTGCAATAGATGTACAACTGTTAAAATATATTATAAGAATTACTGTAAATATTGTCTATAAAATTAATTATTACCAGAATATCAAATATTATTATGAGCCACATAACTTATCAGGTATAAACAATAAACCAAATACTTTAATCTCTTTTATCCCTATACGGGCGACTGTTATCCTTATCTGGGGGATTTTCATCCTTATACGGAGTTGGCTTATTTAATTAAATTTTCCAAAAGCCTTTTTGAGGCCTAGTTGTTTCTGTATATTTTTTCGAATTTAAGTTGGTTTAAAGCTTCCCATTTTGGGATCTTTCAGTTGATTAATTTATTGTTCTTCCTTTGTTCTAAGTTTGGCTATTTTATTTATCTTTCAGTTTTTCTCTCTACTGTGTTTCTTCTGCTAGTGTTTCTATTTAATTTTCTGGAACTTCCTGTGACCACCACTTGGTCTCTTGGTTCTCAAATTTCACAATTTTCTTGCCCATCGATCTCTCCATGGGTTTCGGTATATAACATTATTGGATTTGGTCATGCTCAGCCTCAACCTCGAAACGCATGGCTTTGTGATCCAACATGTAGGTTTCATACCAGTCCTCTATTTGGTTTTGTAATAAAGCAATAGTTAGGATGATATCCAGTCTACGTTACAAGAAAACCAATATTCTATAGGTACTCATTTCTCTTTTTTGTGTCTGTATTTGTCCCAATAGTACTGTGGGAATTTGCTTCACATCCTAGTTATCTATCTTTTTATTACACCAGCTGATGATAATGTTAATTTCTTTTATATGTTTTTTATATCGATTGGTGGGAATTTACATTTCCGTAGTTGTACATCTTTGGTGGTGACTTTGAAACAGATATAGATCTATATCTTGTTATCTGATAAGTAACATCTTTCGCCGATTAGAGCACAGCGATCTTAAAAAAAATATTAGATCTAGAAACATTTTCTAGACATGCAGGTCAAATTTTATCGCAATGCAGCCATTCGTATATTTCTTATCGCTGCATAAAGCTGATGTGTTTAAAATATTACGCTTGTGGAGAAAAATGATTTTCGATCTCTCATTTAAACATTATTGTTTGAGCAATAAAACGGGGAAAGAAACAAAAGGAACACTGGATAAATATTATGGGACTAATGCTCCTTCAGACTACATTACTGGACGACTCTCCGCATTTACACTGGAAAATGCGAAGGAAGTCCATAATGAAATGGTTTTAGCTGATTATAAAGTCAAGGTGTTTGAACTGGCAGAGGCCACAACAATTAGTAAAGAGCGCACTAGTCATATTTTGAACGAAGTTTTGAATATGAAAGAATTATGCTGTTGCCCGTTGACCAACATGATCATACTACCACTTTTTAAAAGTATTTGGACCTTATGCAGCGCAATAAGTTGGAATTTTGACATCTATTGGTAACCGTTGATCCGCTGGATCCGTTTCTACATACAAGAGAGCAGAATGAGCGAATGAGAAATGAGCCAAAACTGCTCAATTGATTGGAAAGGTACTCTGTATTTTGGGATTGCAAAAGCATAATATTTTCTTGAAGTAAGTAAAACTATTAATATCCAATATTATAGTGAATTATTGAACAAATTGAAGGAGGAACTTATTAAGAAATGGTCACATATGCAAAGTTGCCAACTTTTGTTTCTCCAAGACCATACACTGGCTCACCAAAGCATTATGACAATAGCAAAAATTCATGAATTGGGGTTCGAATTGCGTTTTCATAAGTGTATTCCTAAAACTGTAGTGAGGCTCGTAAATACAAAAATGAGCGCGAGCGAAGAGAAAATTTACAAAACAAAATGCTGTTTTTCAGAGTTTTCAGAATCGGGTTATTCGGACGGCATAAATAAGTTGGAAAATCGCTGGAATTGTTGCATTGAGCTATAAGAAGACTATATTGAGTAAAATAAAAGAATTTACTGGAAAAACATGTTTTTAATTTCAAAGAAGGTTACTTATCAGACAGTATATGTAAATATTACATTAATAACTATGTTAATATATTCTATTTTTTTTATAGACTGTGAAGTTATCATTTAACTTCCCATTCTACGGCCATTTGATCAAGAACGTGACCATAGCAACAGGAGGTTTCCTCTACACGGGCGACTACGTCCATTCTTGGCTAGCAGCTACCCAATATATAGCACCTTTGATGGCGAACTTCGATACCAGTTTATCCAATGAAAGTTTCATAAAATACGTCGACAATGGGACTGCCTTTACTGTCGAATGGGAAAAGGTGACGTTGCAGGATAAACCAGACGATGGAGAGTTCACGTTCCAAGTTACTTTGTTCAACAACGGAGATATAGTGTTCGTCTATAAGCATATACCGTTGCTCGTTGAACAGATTCAAGAGTTACATCATCCTGTCAAAGTGGGACTCTCTGATGCTTACATTATGGACCAGACTATATTCTGTAAGTATATTTTAATAACAATTATTACTGTATACAAGTACTGTAACAAGTAGTACTGTATCAATAGATTTCGTTTAAACGGCTAGGATAAATAATTAAATGTTATTCATTGCATATCAATGAATTCGAGTAGCTTTATCAAGTGTACACGTTATTTTTTTACTAGTTTTTATCTATCTAAGAGAGTGCGGACATACTCTAGGGTAGAGGACAGTCGAGGGAGCGATTTTTCTTTTACATAGTCCAAAAATCTCCGTATTTTTAGAGGGTGGGGATTAAAGTTAGGAGCAGCAATTATTACTAAGGGTTGGGTTAAGTAATGCTTTAAAATTGAGGTTGGGAATTATATTAATGATACAACGAAAAATATATTATTGTTTTTCCCATGTGAAAAATTGAACACTTAGGTCCTACCAACTAATGAGAACCATTGTAAGTTCTCTTCCAGTAACAGCAGTTAATAGCACATCAAGTTTAACAAAAATATACCTTCAATGAAGTAGGGGTAATCCTCAAGCTCTCTTTTGCCAGAACTATGCATAGATAACTTGAATATAGATAGGTTGTTTTTAGAGAATTTAGACCTATAACTGTGTAATGCTTCTCTACTTTTCTCTGTTGATTGCTCTTCTCCTCCCATTATTTCCAATTCTATCGCTGATATCTTGCATAGTGCATTCCCTATTTCTTGGTGTACCCCGTTTTCTTTTTTTTTATGTCTGGTGTTTTTATTGCTATATCCTATTTATTAATCTAAATCCTAAAATATTTGCCCTAGGTTACCAGCTACTATAGATGCCGGGTGCAGACATGCTACCCAGTGCCAAATGCCATATCGAACCACGTGGCTTTCTCAAGACTTTCTCAATACGTGACGGTGTCATGTAACCGCGTGATGTAATTCGAAGCATCATCTCAGGTATATTTTAGCGTTCCACTGGTTGTCGGTAACTGTCTTTGCGTCAAAAGAACGCGAATGTCACACTGTACGCCCTGAACTCAAGTCTGGACTAGTTTGCGGATTTTTCGACTTTCAATTCATTCTCGTGTGTTTGAATGTTGTGCAGTTGTGTGCATCAAAATGAAATGGACCGTGGGAATAAATGAATGAATGCATTGGAGAAATTTTCCGGGAAAATGGGAATAACAGCGAATGAATGAAAAAAATAACCTACTTTCTATCTGGATTATGGAGACAAAAAGGAAAAATATACAGGCACTGTTTGTGACCATCTCTTTATAACCTATAGAACGTCAAAATGTAGGTACGACGTACGGTTCAGCGATCAGTTCCGTTATCAGCGTCTCGAACAGCCCGTTGATCTCATTGCCATCCGCGATGAGGTTCGAAGCATGTCTGTACTGAGATTAGCTGGTTTACAGCCAATAGATTTAGAGCCAATTTAGAGTTACAGCCAATAGTTTAGGAACAACACCGAGGGCCATCAAATGAGCTATGTTAGGAGTTTCTCTGAGAGAACATATACAAAATGAGAACGTACGAAGCAGGACGAAGGTGGAAGATGTATTGGAAGCGCAAATGAAATGGAGCTGTGTAGGAGACGTAGCACGACAAAACAAGGAAAGATGGACAAGAAACATTGTACATTGGAGACCACGCGAGCACAGTGGTAGCAGAGGAAGACCACACAAATGGTGGATAGACGACATCAAAGCAAAATGGGGAGAAACTGGCATCAAATAGCACAAAGCAGAGCTTATGGGATCCCTTTAACATACATTCAACATTTCTTCGAAGTCTTTTTTTCCCATATCTCTATTTTGTTTAACTTTTGTTTGTACAAATGCCGATGTTATGCTACAGAGAATCTTCCATATTAGATAGGTACCGATGGATCACCATCTCTCAAATTTAGAATTTTGCGCGCAAGTACTGATTTCCAAAGTTATAAATGGATAATCAATTTAAAAACCTGGAGTGAAATACCAATAGGTTAGATTAACACAAACAAGAACTATAAACATTTCTGGAAGAAAATCGATGTGTGTCTCACTACCATTTCACCAATGGTTCAGTTAACAAATTAAAGCTGTATCATACTATCTATTCAGACAATAATCCATATGTACCACTACAAGAAGTGTTGTACCAAACTACCAAACTGTAGAAATACAAGCCAAACCTGTTATAATTAAAAAAATTGAAAGGTGTTAATCATAGCTTTATTTATACCATCGAGATATGCTATAAAAAGAAAACAGTAGCCAACGATATAGAATCATAATTGGAAGAGAGATAATGCGAAAGTTACCCATTGGTGAATTTGACTGACCATGTCCAAATACAAGGAACTATTAACAGCATGCAATAATCTTGGTATCAGACACTGTCGACTGGAAAACCAACATATTGGAACACTGTTCCAAACAACATTCCTGATCTGAAAAATTTATTTATAATTAGAAATGTATTTTCAAATTATAAGCACGTAGAACAAGCTTAAGACAAGAAATCAGATCGCTCTCCCATTTTTTCATAATTAGTGATAATGCGATTCAGAAAGATATTCCACCTAAATTAGTTAACAAAAGAACGGGCTGGAAAAACTTTAGAATCAGCCTTGAATGGGACGGAATCAGGAAGTTGTACGTCCTGTAAAAAATATTTGACAGTCAATTTTTGGAGTACCCTGAGATTAAAATACTAGGAAATAATTACTCGAAAGAAACTCGAGACCTTATACAAGAAAAACAGTAGAAAATGGCAACAAACCAGAGCACCAACAAAACAGCATTAAATAATGTAACACAATACATAAAATATGAAATTCAGCGTATGGAAACTTAATCAATTGGTATGAATATTCAGCGAATTAAAATTTATTAATACTACGCCATTATTGAAAACTATTAAAATATTATATATCGCAAACACATTTTAGAAATCAGGATAGTGCATATTAAGAGAAATTATGACAGGGGAACCTCTAGGTAGGTTTACCTTGAGCACGATACTATTGTAATCTTTGCTGGTGGTACTGTTATTTTATAGTTAGAAGAGACCATGGAGAAACTAACAGGGAACTGCAAACAACCATAGATCATATGCACATATGGACCAAAAGATAGCTAGCGTTTAAACATCTACAAAAAAGTAGATCTCTCCATTTCAACTTCACGAATAATAAACCCAACAAATTCACATATAAATAAATAACAGTTAAGTATTATTTGGGAATGACACTGGACGCTTTGCTTCGCTGGAAAACTACATCGAATAAAAATGTGAAGAGCTTGGCATAAAATATAATATGACGTATTGGCTGGTAGCAAGAAACTCCAAGGTGTCTGTACATAACCATCTATTTATCTACAAGTAGATATAGAAACCCGTTTGTATGTAGCCAATAACAGAAACAGTTTAAGTTCTTCAACAATTTCAGATCACAGTATTAAGAAACATCATGGATGCATATTGGTACCGCCTCAAGAATGATCTTCATACAGACCTAGACGTAAATACTGTTGACATTCCTTAGAAAACCCAGACATTGATGACTTCGGGTAAGCTAAGTTCCCACTGATAATTTCAGTGCTTCTGATGATCATCCTAACTTAACCCTTTAAATATCTGGAAGTTCTCCTTCCATTTGCTCATCCTATATTGATTTTTGCTCTTGGTGCGTTCTCTTTATCGCATTCCCTCCTTTTTGCATGTTATGCCTCTTTCTAAAATATTTTTCCATTTCTTGGATTATTTCATCATAACTTCTTTGTTACGTTTTTGTGATACAAGTAATTGTCTTTAAAATGGATGATGTAATAAATAAACTCATAAATTCAAGGCAAAAATTTATTATATTGGTCTAGGTATATAGTTATATAGATGATCTGCGTATATTTTATAGGCACAAACAGCCAACAAAATACATTATCAACATTAATAAACACAATCCAATCAAATATGACATATCAATAGAACAATTTAATAAAATTGATAATCAATAATTTAACACATCTATATCACCATAAATCAGAAGGATTTTATGGCATGATTCATGACATGACAACTATTTCGTTATCACTAACTAACTTCACAAAAGAACTAAACATAAACAAATTTCTTGCATGAATGTATACAATGTTATCATAATTGATAAAATAGTTTCGATTAAATTAAATGAAAACCCATATATTAGAGTTTTTTGCTTCAGTAACAATATAAATTATTGGGCATTTTTCATTCCAGTCTATTCACTACACGTGTCTGCCGCCTGAAGTTTCTTCCAACATGATTTACGTGTATGTCCAGATGAGTTTAGCATTTTTTTGGTACTTACATGTTTATCTTTCTTTCTTGATGAGGGTTCCTTCAGAGTCTTCGCCTATGGCTCTGTTGATATGCAACATTGATTATCATACTTAGTGCAGATTACAGCTTAGGACGGTCTTCGACTCTGTATTGGATTGGAATTTTTTGTAAATACTTCCAGCGACATTGTTGCTTGAATACACTACGACCCGTTTCTTCATTACACAAATTTTTAGTTGATTTGCCATGGGACTTAAAAACTCCAGCTAACAATAAAAGACCAATGTATGCTTGAAAACCAATTTTATCCAAGTCTTTCCAGTTGGTTCCAAAAACACGCTCTCCTTCCATGTTGGTCATATTTATAATTTGGTTTGCAACTATGTCAGAATGTATGCGTACCTTGTAACTCCAGGATCGAGGGACCACTGGATATTACCGTCTTTTGAAGGAACTGTGACAGAAGGTTCTACAGGATGTTGTACATAGAATGGAATAGCAGAATCATCACTACTTTCTTCCTCACTTTCACTACGCGTTCTTCGATACGGCATTATCAACATGCAAACATAGACTCAAATTTGAAATGTAAATGAATGTGCTTGGCTGCTTGGCGTATCGGTGTCCTACTAGCCTACCACTTGTCTATCACCCCCACTTCCTTCTACGTGACATCTCCTTCTAAATGACATCTTCTAGCTACACTACACATTTTTTACAAGTTCTA